TTCACAAAAACATACAAAAGCATCATCAATGTTATCCTGATTGTACAAATTATCCCATTTTTCACAAGAAATTGCACTTTCAAAACATAAAATACTATTTTCATTAAAATTTCTTCTTTCACTAAAGAAACCGTTTGTTTTTCTTATACAAGGAATATTTAAAGCAAGGTACACACTTCTATGGTCTGAAATGTAGTTATCCAAAACACAACATACCGTTTCATTATCAGAAAAACTAGAAAAAATGTTATCTATTAAAGTACACGTCGTTGTAGTGACTCTCGTAGGCCATTTTACTAACTTTGTGAGATTAAAACCAGACATAACTCCACAGAGAACGTTAAAATCCTGATTTTTATATGAATCCAAGTTAAAATCCCCACATACAATAATATGTAAATCTGGTTTATACAAAAAACTTAAGACATCGGTGATTTTATCAAAAAATACAGATACATTTCCAGACGGAGAACGGTAACAATTTATAACAATAAATTTCATATTCTGAATGGTTAAATATACAGCACAGAACTCAAAGTCCTGCTCAATACAATCAATATTAACATTAATTCTCTTGGCGTTAATGCTATTCCTTACCCATATCGCAACACCGCCAAATTTTTTTACTGATCTACAATAAAAGTTTATCAAATTATACCCTGTTAAGTGTATACTCGCCATTTTATTATTTCTTAAGCCTGTCTCAACAATACAAACAATATTTAAATTAGAATACTGGCATAAATCTTCATACAGAAAGTCGACTTTACCGTGATTAAGAGTGTCGACGTTTAGAACCAACAAATTTGGATCAAATATTAAGTTGTTACACTTTGATTGATCCTGCGCTTGTGAAAAAAACGATTAATGCAGGTCCCATATGGCCATATGTCTGCGTCCATGGCTGTCTTAAAATTATCTTCCAAAACGGATACCTTAAAAGAGGCGTACAATCCGGGATGCTTTGAAACAAGCGCTTCGCATTTCACTTCAGGGATATGTACCCGGAGCATGTCAGAAATTGACGTAACGGTGGTGCTGGGTTCAAGTCTATACACATGGAGATCCACCCAACGAGGAACTCTCTTTATGGCAGCTGAATCCTTATTTTTTCCTATTAAAGTGGGACGTCTGCGCTTACGATTGCTTGCAACTTTCCATTCCTGTCCGGCTATCTTATTATCATGCTTATTGTTGATATCACCATTAATATTTATATATTTATCAATTCTCTGCTTAGTTTGAGCTTCCAAAACAGCGGTGGTAACGTCACTATTGGAAATACCAACAGAACCACTTTTATGATTTCGTTGTTTATTAAGAACTTTATCATTTTGAACAGTAGGCACATTGTTGCGCCCCGTATTTGTATGTTCATTTGAATAAATATCCGAATTAAAAACCTTATCGTCGGAAGAAGTTTTTACTCCATTCTTGTCTTTAGACGACTGTACAGTTTTACTTTCTTCTGCCGCTCTCAGCTTGTTTAACAATGAAATATGTTCATTTAACATCCTATTTTTATCTTGCAATTCACGTACCAGATCATCTTTCTGTTTAATAATATAGATGAAAATAGCAATATCAATTTTACCATTTGCTGATACATTCTCCATGGCATCACAAAATTGTTCAGTTATAGGATCATTAGTATCATCAGTACAACAATTAATTGTACAATCACTAGTCACTTTTAGACCTTTCCAAAGCCTGGCACAGCTTTGATGGAATGAACTATTACACTTTTCACATGTCAAACAATTTTTTACAGCATTTTTACCACACCTTTTGCAAAATACTTGAGAAGACATTTTTAATCGACCGTTCACCACGGTGTCTCTCTAGACTGTCTAATTGTTGCAACAACTGCCGTAATCGTAATATGCTGCCCTTCGACGCTATTCCTTTTCTCTGATTCTCCCCGCGGTTCGTAGACCCAACAGATTTTTTAGAAGTTGCCATCTTCTTAACCGGTGGAGAGTTTGGTAATAAAATGTCACAGATTGTGTTGTTCCCCATGTCCGACAGTGTCCTTGACAGAATGTCATCGGATGGAATTATTACATCCATAGCACTAGCCGCCGTCGTGGTGTAACAACCTTGGCTGACAAACGGTTGTTGGAAATACTGGAAGTGCTGACGTTCCTCCGGCGTCTCCTTTGGCATAGGTTTGCCAACACTTGTATTCTTCCTTCTAGAACTGGTGGTGGCCTTTTTTGGTATTGTACTTGATCGACCCATTTTTCTTTATTTTTAATTACACAAAATTTACACTATTGTAGACGCTCACTGCAGGGTTGGCACAAAACGAAATGTAATTCTTCACTTTGATATCCTCTCTTATATAGAAAATCCACTGCAATTCAAATGCACCACGTCACAATGTCATTGTATACACAACATTAAAATCACTATTTAAATTCAAGGTTAACTGCAATGTTTAAACGTAAATCAAGTGAAGGTCGTCACATGTGATATTTTTCGACTTTTACACACCAAACAAAAATCATTATACAGTTATATACTTAGAACTCGCTCAAGGTCACACCCTCATGAAATATTTATCCATATCATTTAGATAGACATATTTCTAATGAAGGTCATATAACAATCTTCCTTATTCACACCACACAACAAAAATTTAATTTCAAGGTTAACTGAAATGTTTAAAACGTAAATCAAATGAAGGTCATCTTCTCATGTAAAATTCCTCCTCTCTCACATACCAAACAAATCTAATTTCAAGGTTAACTGTAATGCAAAGGTCAAATGAAATTCACCACCCTATGCCATCTCCTTCGGCTTTTAGCCTCAAGGTCATCCATATACCATCGTCTTCGGCTTTCAGCCTCAAGGTCATCTCAAAGACGAAAGTGGAGGGGGGAGACTCACAAGCGGTAAAAATACCCTACTGAGTAGGTAATTATTACGGTATTTGAAAATTTTTATCGTCCAAATCAAATAACTTTGTATATAGATCTATTTAAAATATTATATTCTTATTCCAAGAATGAGTGGCCAACGTAATATGCAATTTTTGGATACTTATAGCTTTGAGAAAACTTTTTTCCATTTGAATTATATAATTATGTATATTTTAATAATAAACAAGCTTACTTGATAAATAAATATCACTGGAAATTGAAGAACGAACCACATCCATCCATATTGAGGAATATCATAATACACAGTGGAATAACCACCATTGGCTATATGACACGCCAATACGGCAGACATAGAAGCGTTTAAAAATAATGTAGTTGAACCCAAGATAATTTCATGCGTTTCTAGTTCTGGTGACAACCAATTTTTTGGCTGACATTTCCATTCTTCTGCTCGATGCCTTTGTCGTACATAGTAGTACCACTAAAATTAAATATTTCTTGTGCATATAAAATTTTAAAAATAGGTACATGTACGTACTTAATCTTATAATATAATGCATTTCTATATATGATTCTGAGAGCTTTATTTTAAATGTATATGTATTAAAATAGTTATTAACGTTACAAGGCCGATAACAAGTAAATAACGGGAGAGGTGGAGTTTGTAATCCGAGGCGTAACGTAGCGTAGCCGAGGTTTATAATCCACCGAGGACGTTATTTACATATCGGCCGTGTGTCGTTCAACGGTTTTCGTTACACCAGTTTCATTCATTTCATTTATCATTTCATTTAAAAAGCAATTTTACTTATATATTATTTAATATGGACATGCCAGAAAAATAAAAACATCAAGTTACAAGGCGGTTGCTAGGTAATAAGTGTGTTTGTATTGTAGAAATTTATAACTGACGTCTAGCATAAAGAAGCGTCGCGTTGACTTCCATTTGAAGGTTTATCAGAATAATAATTGTGAAATCAATTTCCATGTACATTATAATGAAAACATAAAACCTTTGTTTAACAGGAAATCATTATTAGTCTAATAAATGCAGTTGTATGTTGTGTGATTGCTGTGTGAAGAAATCTTAACAGCCGGCGTCCGTTAAGGATTCTTAATGGACGCCGGCCGTTAAGGACCGGTTATCGTGTCTATTTTGGGGTATGTTAAATGAAAATAACAGTATGGTGTAACGAAAAATATATAAAAATGGTTTACAACTTACGTGTAAAAATCCTCCTATTACAAAGTATATTGAATAAGAAATCATGCAGGAACTAAACCAAAATATCCAAAAATCTTGTAATTTTAGGTTAAACCAATAATAAATGTTATTTTTTGAATTACTGGCATTTATATATCCAAGCTGTTTTGCTAAATGTACAAATATATTTAACCAGTCACCTAAAAATGCAACTTAATTTTAGTTTGGTTTGTAGAATATTAATTAACAAAATAGTATATTTTGCTACACATCATGACAATGCCGTTTCTTGTCAAGAATCACAAATCGTGAATGAAATATTCCATCGTTAACCAATACATGATTTTGTGTTGAATTTAATTCAAAATAAACTATAAGCAAATTGTTAATAATATTTTTAAGTTGTTTATTATTTTTTATTTAAAAATATGATTGTTATGATGTCAGTCAAAATCCTATGTATTTTTAAAGGTAGGTTCGCTTCGGTAATTTTTCTCTGATTGTGCGCAAGAGAGACAGAGCGATTGTGTGCAAGAGTCACAATGAGACGTCTTTCTTTCTTCAGTGCATCTTTATATATATATATTTATTTATTTTTATTGGTTTGAGTACAAAAGACGTCTACAAGTTCAAAAAAAATTCGAGCCCACAAGCCCATACACCTGTGTGTGACGTCTTACAGTAAAAAAGGGCTTAAAGTCGGAAACGGTATGTAATATTTCCTGTTTATAGTATATAATTGTAATAATAAAATAATAATAAAATATGTTATATTAGTTTTTTATATAATAGGTACAGTTCTGATTATGCATAGTACAGTCATAACTGTTTAAAAGTCACGTGTCCACCGAGCTCAGGCAACGAACATTGTAGGGCTGGTACTCGTAACGAAAAATCCCTAAATCTTGGCATCACCAATATTAACGATTAATTTAGAATGAATAATGACAAACCGTTATGACTGCGCTCGAGATAATGCTATCGCTGATTGATTTAATGGAATCTCGTGAAAAATTACACAAATCACAGCCACTGAAACAGAGGTTGTGTTTTAATGTACCCTTGATCTTATTGTTTTAATAATTTTTAATTTAATTGCCAACACGAAGGAAATACAATTACTGTTCCAAACAAAATTACTGGTTATGTGGCTTGTAATCATTTATGAAGATTCTGCATATACTTAGATCAAAGAACTCTGTTAATCTTACACAGCTATATTCGGTTCCAAAATATATTTATAAAGCAGGGAATAATCAAGGCAATAACTAACAAACAAGGAAATCGTCAAGGTTTTATTTTTACAGGTGCGTTGAATCGAAAAAATCAAAATCTCCCCTCATCCCTGGTTCTAATTGTCCGTTGATGATCGAGTGCAAAAGTTCCGAAGTCTATATGTCAAAAAACAAAAAAATAGAGTTAAACACCGCAAGTCACACAGCAGCATCGGACGCAACTTACAAAGTTTCTTATCTCTGTAATAGATCTTTTAGTAAGACGAAACACACCACTGACACTGGTAAAAGGACGCCACACAGACGTACTTACATACATACAATTAGCGAGTACGATTTAAAAAAATACATAAGTTGTGTTATAGATAGATAGCTTATAAAGATAGCACAAAAATTATAAATCAGCGTCGTATCGTTGGTTTTTTATCAAAATGCTTTAAAGTTAAAAAAATAATTCATTATCATGTAATGAATCAGTTTTAATTTTGAACTTTATGTTATGGGTTTTGCCGTATATTTTTGAATGGATTATTTAATATTACTAATAATAATAATAATAATAATAATAACAAGAACAACAACAACAACAACAACCAACAACAATAACAACAACAACAACAACAAAACAACAACGACAACGACAAGGACAAGGACAACGACAACGACAAGGACAACGACAAGGAGGACAAGGACAACGACAAGGACAACGACAAGGACAACGACAAGGACAACGACACAAGGGCAACCACAAGGACAAGGACAACGACAATGACAACGACAAGGACAACGACAAGGACAACGACAAGTACAACGACAACAACAACGAAAACAACAACGATAAAAATAAGGATAACGATAACGATAAAGATAACGATAAACATAACGATAATGATAACGATAATGATAACGATAACCATAACGATAACCATAACGATAACCATAACGATAACCATAACGATAACCATAACGATAACCATAACTGTGCAAATTTAATATATCTATTTACAATTTACAATCAGTAACTTAATTCAGTATACATAATATGTGATAAACAATTAAGTGTAGTAAATCACAATGCATCCATTGAAGAAGGTCCACCAATGCTTATTATATAAGGACATGGTAATTATTAAAGTAAAAAACATGACTTGTTAACTCTGATGGTTCAAAATGTATAATCTGACATTGGTTTTAAAACTACAAATACCTAATTTTTTAAACTCCGGCGAAACCATATTATAAAAGTGACAAATTTGATACCTAAAAGAACGCCTAAACAGATCCGTTTTAAATGAAGGAACAGTAAGTAATCCCTTATTTCTTACGTTTATATTATGGACGTCCGAGCGGTAAGTTACTTTGCGATGTAGGTAAGAAGGCTTCTTGCTTACGATTATTTTATGGCATAGGATGAGAAAATGATGTTTCCTTCTGTTCTCCATATTCAACCATCGTATTTCCTTCAGTTTATGCGATACTCTCTGACGTCTTCTTATGCCAAATATCATACGTAAGCAAGCATTTTCTTTTCGTAAATAACTGTCAAATTAGGTCCATATAATGCATCAGCATAGTTAAATAGAGATAATACAAGGGTATCACAAAGTTGTTTTTTATGTGAACCGGGAATAAATGACGGTTTCCATAAATTATTTTAATATGACAATACGCTCGTTGTAATAACTTATTTACATGCTTCTCAAATCTCAAATTGGAATCAAATATTATACCTAAATTTTTTGCTTCATTTACTACTTCGAGCCCCACACAGCCCCATAAAACAAGAAAAAGTATCGGATCTGGTATTCAGACCCATGTATTTCCATGTATTTTTTTTCGCTGAATCCGAATCTGCCTTCAGATTTGGCCCAACGGGTCTGAGTTTTCGGGAAAATTTAAAAAACCGGTCAAAATTCACACAAAATGTCATTTATGATCGACGAAAGTTATAAAAAGTCAAATTATTCTACCAGCTCACTAGACGTATTATTTTTCACTCATTTAATTCCAATTTATCATCATAGGGTCAGACAAGCTGGTCCAATTTCATTCAAAAACAGAAAATACATAAAAAAACTACATTTTCATGGCATCATTCGTGTTGCAGACCAACAAAAATCGGCCAACATGTTGTGATCCTATTTTCCTTGATATCGCTATTATATAACTTTCATATCCTGATGAGATCGTTCGCCTTGTTCTTCGCTATAATCTCTAAGATTTTCAGGAAACCAATCCAGATGTGAATGAAGGAAGTGCAACTTGTAGTCCATCAAACATCCCAGGTCTTGGAAGTCTTTTATCAATTTTAATACAATTTCTTCGTAATTAGGACTCTTGTTGTTTCCTAAAAAATTTGCCACTACAACTTTGAAACCAGTCCAAGCACTCTTCTCAACGCTACTCATTGTAGTGATGAATGTTGCATCCTTGAACAATGTCCGAATCTAAGGTCCATCGAATACACCTTCTTTCAATTTCGCCTCAGAAATATTCGGAAATTTTCGCCCTTTATATACCTATATAGGGCGAAAACTTGTTGGTTGTTAAAAAGAGAAACGAAAAATAGAGGGACTAAACGAAAACGGACCCTTTACATAGATCCTTTGAAGAAAAGAGAACACGTTATAGCAACAAAAATGAGAATGATTTGTAGATATCGTTTTTTTTTTGTTTAGAAAGTAGAGTAATCTAAAAGTTTTATTGCATTCTCAATCTTGTAGGCTGTTATCTCATCTTTCAGCACAAAAAGTAGATGGATAGATGGGTGGAGGAGTGGGTTTTATAGGTGGTACAGGTGAATGGATAAATATGCGTATTAATGCCAGAACGACTGGATAGAAAGATCCATGAATTCATAAATGCGTGGGTGGATAAAAACATGGATCCAGAACTCTGCAACACGAATTATGCCATGAAAATGGCGTTTTTGATCTATTTTCTATTTTTCAATGAAATTGGACTAGCTTGTTTGACTCTATGATGGTAAATTGAAATTAAACGAGTGAAAAATGATACGTCTAGTGAGCTGGTAGAATAATTTGCTTTGATCGTAAATGACGTTTTTTATGAATTTTGACTTGTTTTTTGAATTTTCCCAAAAACTGCCAAATCTGAAGGCAGATTCGGATTCAGCGGAAAAAATACATGGAAATACATGGGTCTGAATACCAGATCTAATACTTTTTCTTTTTTTGTGGGGCTGTGTTATTAATGACAATATTAATTGAATTTAACAGATTTGTACGTTGGTGTTTACTACCAAAAATCATTACTTTAGATTTAATAGGATTGATAAGTAGACAATATTCAGTTGCGCAATCAATAAATATTTTTAAACTATCATTAATAGATTTTAATGAAACATAATCTGATTGAACCCCGTCAATATTAACTTGTTGCCATCTAAGTTTAATATAATTTTCTAATAATAAACATGCGTTTCTAGAAAAACCTATATATTTTAACATAGAGATCATCAAATCATGGTGTATAGTATCAAATGCTCGACTAAAATCCAACATAACTAATACTGTGCACTGGCCTTTATCTGTAGCGTTTATGATGTCATCAGTGATATGAAGTAAGGCAGTAGTACAACTGAAGTCTTTACGAAAACCTGATTGAATTGAGGGTAGCAATGAATGAGTATCCAAATATATATTAATTTGATGTTCAAGGGCTCTTTCTAGAATTTTCGATAGTGTGAGTAGAATACTTATCGGACGTAATTCTTTCAACTGTGTAGGGTTTGGTTTTTTTGGTAAAACTGTAATAATTGCTTTCTTCCAGGCAGTAGGAACATCACAGCTAGTTATACAAAAATTAATAGTATGAGTAATATAAGGGATTATATGAGAACAACAAAGTTTAATTAAATTCACATTCAACCCATCACATCCTACAGCATTAGTTTTAATATTACAAATTGTGTTCTAAACAAATAAGTCATTAACTTCTTGGAA